GAGAGATTTACGCTGTAGAGTACTAGAGTACGTGCACTCTCCAGAAAGACAGACAGAGAAACAGAGAGACAGAACATGAGAAATCACCCCCGGGGCAGATGGCCATGCCACAGTCCCTTCTCCTCCATTCTCCTCTCTGGATCTTGGGCACACATGCACACGCGCCTGACCTGAGTTTAAGCCACTGGGTCTGGGACTTGAACCGTGGTTGACTACATGTGAGTTCAGTGACATAGCCATTATGCTAACTGCTGGTCCCTCTTCCTGGAAAAATTCTAAGAACCAGGGCAAGCAGAGAGCTTACTGCCCTCAACATTGGTTGTAGTCTTCAATTTATTCCCTCTGGTTTCCATATGCCACACCCTGGCTCAGCAGGTCCACTGTGGTCTTGTTTATTCTCCAGAGGTAAAACTTACAGCCCTCTGCTTAGGGGGCTGAGCACTCACCCTGCTGCTCAGAGATAGGCTCTAATGACCTAAGTCTTTTAAATACATACTGTCAACAAATTCTACTTCTATTTAATCCATCTTCATTATGACTGCAAAGGGTGTGGAACTGCCAATCTCTGGACCTTTTGGGAATGGATTCTAATATTAGTTGGTCCAGTTACAACTAGTTTATATACATGTCAGCTCAAAATTTTTGTTTTTACACCTTTCCCTTTTTCATTGTGGTTTCATGCCATGGAAGAGAGTTTGTGTTTAAAACTTGTATTCAACCTGCCATCTTTGCCAGAGTTTTTTCTGATATTGTTTTGTTTTAAAAATAACCATGTGGTACTGTAATACTATATTCTCTTCTTGAAAAAAATAATCCGAATTACCAAAATGCCTCACTATTGCAGAGTGTGGTTACATATTTATTTTCTCATTTAATTTTCACAATAAATTTATGAATTTGGCAAGGCTATTTCACTAACATATAAACATAAATTTGAAGGATTTAAGTGGCTTACATAGGACATGTTATATATTATTAAAAAGAATGTAACACTAGTGATTGTTACTATTGGCTTAGCTGTACTTTTTTCTAAATTTACTTATATATTATTTAAGTGAAGAAAATCAATGATATATGGGTGGTCAGATATATTGGGAAAAATGTATCTTAAAGAGTTTGTCTGAAATACTTCCCTTTTAGAGAGGTTTTGTTTTTTTTTTTTTTTTTTGCTATAGGGCGTGTGCTTACTGGAGAGAAAGAAAGAGAGAGACAGAAAGCCAGAAATCACTCCCCAGAGGGGATGGCGACACTGAGTCCCTTCTCCTCCATTCTCTTCTTGGAATTTTGGGCATGCATGCACATGCATCTGGTGTGAGTTTTAAGCTGTCTTGATCAGGACTTGAGCCACTGTCAACTATGTGGGAGTCCAGCAATGTAACTATTACACCATCTGTTGGTCCCTCAGGTACTTTTTCAAATGCTTTGAAAGCCCTCTTTAATGATTTCAGTAAAAATCATGCTGTGATGGTTTTTGCTTTTAGACCTGCGATTTGCTATACTCTATTATTAAAAACAATACAAGTAATAAAATGATCAGAAAATTGTAAGTATTAGTCCTTTTCAATTTTCTGTAAAAATAGGTAAGAGTCGAATGACTTAATAGGTCTGTATTTCAGAAATTATCCTTGATATAGGAAATTTCTGGAGATCAGTGTAGATTGTGCAACTACTGTTTACCTCTATTTAACAGAGAGTGTATGATAGGAAAGCTCGTGATGTGTATTGCATTAACACTTATGAAGAATAATAAATCAGCAGCCACTCTTATTTCTTCAATCAGGCTTTTAAATTTATTATGAGAATTAAAACAATTTGGGTGACTTTTGTATCCAAACCTATTTTGCAATGATAAAAATAATAGATGTACTGGGACCAGCAGTTGGTGTAATGACTATGTTGCTGGATTCCCGTGTAGTTGACCACGGTTGGAATCCCAGACCCAGTGGTTTAAACTCACGCCAGGCACATGTGTGTGCATACCCAAGATCCCAAGAGGAGAATGGAGGAGAGGGGATTGCGGCGTGGCCATCCTCCCTGGTGGGTGATTTCTAGCTTTCTGTTTCTCTGACTCTCTCTGTCTTTCTGGCAAGCGCACACGCCCTATCGCAAAAAAACTTCTCAAAAAAAAATAATAATAGATGTACTTATATCTTCTCCAGACAGGATGAAAAAATAAAAAAGACAGTATACTAAAATTAAATTAAATTAAGTTAATTAAATAAATACAATATAAATGGATCAAACTATACAAGAATCATAGAAATAATAGACAATAGATATTGGAAATAAATAAATCATATTTTAAAAAATCACTTATCTAAATGTAGTTTAAATGAGGGAGCACTAATTTTAATGCTAAAAAATATAATAACATTATTTAAATGATTAGTGATATTGTAACTATTTTGTTCTCTTTTTCTTTATGTTAAAAATATTTTTCCTCTAGTTTTATTTACAACTAATTTTTATCAATGAATAGAACACATCATGAAGCAAAAATTAAGTACTAAATCAATAAAACACTGATTTCTAATGTTCCTATAACCAAAACAAAGCTGGTAATTTAGAAAAATTTTACCACTACAGGTAAAAATGACTTCCTGTATTCGTTCTTAATTCTCTGCTTGATTTTGGCCTTAGAAAATATACCTATCTTAGGGACCAGCAGGTAGCATAATGGTTATGTTGCTGGACTCCCACATAGTCGACTGCAGTTCGTGTCTTGAGCCCGGTGGCCTAAAACTCACGCCGGGCGCGTGTGTGTGCGTGCCCAAGATCCCGAGAGGAGAATGGAGGAGAAGCGAATGTGGCGTGGCCATCCCCCCCTAGGGGGGTGATTTCTTGTTTTCTGTCTCTCTGTCTCTCTCTGCCTGTCTGGTGAGTGCACACGCCCTATAGCGAAAACCTCTCAGGGATGCAACCGCCGTACAGGAAAAACCCCCCCCCCAAAAAAAAAAAAAAAAAAGAAAATATACCTATCTTATAGGATTAAACTATCACTCTTCTTTAAAGATGTTACTACTAGTCTAACAGGTGGCACAGTAGTTATAGTGGCTGGGTCCCATATGGCCAATTGCATATTTTGAGTCCTGGACCCTGTGGCATGAAAAATGTGCCAGGAGTGTGTGTGTGCATGCCCAAAATCCTGAGAGGAGAATGAAAGACTAGGGATTATTACATGGCCATCCTCTCTGGTTGAAGGAGGCTTGGAGGGTGCTTCCTTATTTTCCCTTTTTCTCTGTCTCTCTCTGTCTCTGGTGCCTGTGTGTGCCCTAAACAAAGATGAAACAGAAAGTAAGAAAGAAATTAATTAAAAATATATTTTAAAAGATATTACTACCTAAATTATCAAGTGATGAGTATGTAGTCTTGATAATAGCAACTTTGGGTTCTATTTACAGGGTTGTGTTTATCAACTATTAGTCACTGATTCATGAAATTGAAAACTGTCCATTTTATTTCTTTACATAAAATTCCTTCATCTGCATGTGAATTCTATTTATGCTTTTATTTTGTATTTCAATCTCATTTAATCCAAATTTAGGAAGAAAAATGATTTACTTTAGAAAGTGAGCTTGTCTTAGCTACTGTTTTGGATAGACAGATAAGACTTTACAAATCCCCATTATTGGTCCTAACAATGTCAATAAAAAAATGAATCATAATATAAAATACTTCTTGCAAAAAATTGACATGCAGCCTTAGCTTCCCAAAGTTATAATCCCATCAATCATATTTTAGGTCCTTCGGCCTCTTTCTTTTAGATATCAAGCCTCTGATCTTTTAGCATGTTTTAGTATTTAACTGGAGAGCAGAGATTTGTATTTTTACCCTCTCAGCTCTAATACTATCCTTGTTTATAAAGCCCTACTGTACTTTAGGGTTGTTTTTTTCCCCCAGTAAATTATAAGATTTTTCTTCCCATTCTATTATTAAAGTAGATCCACAATTTTTCTCAGTATTATTATGCACATACCTTTTAGTGGAGATAATAGCATTATTACATTACTGACCTTGCACTATAAAAATAAAAGCACACTTATGTTGCAAAAACGATTCCACATCTACGTGTTTGAAAATAGTTTTGACTTTCTACAGCCATGCAACTTGTATGATGAATAGGCTCCTTGAATTTATAACCTTAGTATTATTTTGATATTTGTATAAGAATTAAATGAGAAAAAAGATTTCACAAACTTTCAATAAACAAATGCTAACCTTTTCATGTTCATGTTTTACTAGTGCTTCTGAATAAAACCCATTTCCTTCCTTAGTAATGAAATTCTTATAAATCTCTATTGAGATTTTTCTGTTGAGTATAAGAATTATTCAATTTTATCAGTCCATGAAGCTCTAGTTTGTAGACCTGGATGATAGATTTCTGGTTGTCCTGAGGCATGCAAAAAGCAGTTCTGTGGTGACCAGATTGTGTCTCAGTGGAAATGTAGTCATCCTTATTTGTAACATCCTTATTTATAACAAATTCCCCTCATGTCTTCAACCTATACCGTTGTATATCCTTAGGGGTTAGTGTGGCATCTGTGTTATAGCCAACCAAAGAGAAGAAAAACAAATGCGCTCTCACAGATTTACAGTGTCAATCTGTGTCCAGTGTCTGCCTCTTCCAAATTTCATGTTATAGTAATATTGAAAATAAAGTTATACACATGACATATTCTTGTAAGATAAATACAGAAGATTCTCCTTATTCATCTTATTTATTATTTTCTGTGATTTACTAGTTTGCATTTGAACAGTAAGACATTTTCAATATATCTGTTAGAAGTATTTTCTGTACTAGAAAATATGATTAGGAATTGCTATGAGAAATTTTATTCACATTTTGATTTGTTTGATTTAGTTAGTCCTATATTAGTAAATACAATTATAAGGTGATATGAGTCAATTAAATAGAGTGAGTTGTGTCTAAATATTGTAGGTCTACATGGAAACTAAGAAATATCTTTCTTATAATCAAAATGTATTTTATGTTTTCTCAGAAATCAAAAATCTCCACGTATGACAAAATGTGGGCCTTCATGAGTAGCAGGAGGCAGTCAGTGCTTGTCAAAAGTAATGAAGAAGGAATCCAGCGAGTCCTCACTTCTGATTATGCCTTCCTAATGGAGTCAACTACCATTGAGTTTGTTACCCAGCGGAACTGTAACCTGACACAGATTGGTGGCCTTATAGACTCCAAAGGTTATGGCGTTGGCACCCCCATGGGTAGGTTACATGTCAGCCACTTGTTCTTTGTCCATTAATCTTTATTGCTGTGAGAAGGGGGTATAATGATGCCTACATTTGCCATCAGGAATTTTGTGTTTACTGAATGCATCTTGTTAACTTCTGTTATAGTATAAAAGCAGGTTAATGATTTGGATATATGCTTCTAAATGGGTAATTGAAAAAAGAAAAATTAATTCCTACTGAAACAGTTAGTAGACATTTTTGCTGTATCAATGTTGAGAACCCATAACATTTCTTAAAGACCTTTTTCTTTTCAAAATTGCATTTAAAAACATGTTTTAAGAATGGAATAAAGGGTTTGTGATAGTTTATTTTTTTCAGTTGTGTGGCTTATGAGTATAATATTTAAGTAGTGGAGTTATCTAAAAGAATGAGCCATGATGGTTCCCATGGAGATTGTTTTAATTATTTTACTTAAAAGAAGGCATAAATAGGAGACTATTTACCAGCAATATGTCTAAAATATTTGATCTTTAATATTCCCCTCTCATATATGGCAAATTATTTTTATTCATAATAATTAAATAAAGTACAAGATAATTCCCAGGAAAAATGAATTTTTAAATTATATTTTGTTTTAGTTTTTATTGATAATAATAGAAATATCCAAGTCTGGGTAATTTTGAAAGAGTAGAGGTTTATTGGTTCATGGTTTTGGAGGTCCAATGCCTAGAGGCTACATCTGGAACAGGTTTTTGATAGAAACTTCCTGTAAAGGTTGAGGCAGCACTGGACATCACATGCTAAGACAGAGCAGAGCAGATCTTGTATCTTTGCTCATGTGTTCTGATTTCTCTTTCCTTTAAACGTTACCAGGGCTCAATCATGAGGGACCCACTCTAATCACTAATTAATCTTATAAGGGTTAAATTCACTTTATAATCCCATAGTCAGATTAAGTTTTCTCTTAATATCATCACAATAGGAAGCAAATCTCAGCACATGAATTTTGAAGAATCCACATTCAAACCACAGCATATATACAGTCATGCACTATATAATGATGTTTCTGTCAAGAATGGACCACATGGTCAATAGCAGTCCTATAAGGAGCACACAGGTTATACCACATAGCCAAGTTGTGTTGGAGGCTATACTTCCTAGATTTGTGTAAGTATCCTCTGTGATTCCTATAATGACAAAATAGTCTAACAGAAGATTTCTCAAGAGATATCCCCATCCTTTAGCAATACATGGCGTTACATACTTATACATGTATGAACATATGTATGTGTTTGTCATAAATGAATAAATGCATAAATACATAATATTACAGTATATGTGATATACAGAATGATTTTCCTAGTAAGTAAAGAAGGAGAAAAATAAAGGTAAGGGAACCAGCAGTTAGCGTAATGGCTATGTCGCTGGACTCCCACGTAGTCGACTGCGGTTCGTGTCCCGGACCCGGTGGCTTAAAACTCACACCGGGCGCGTGTGCGTGCGTGCCCAAGATCCCGAGAGGAGAATGGAGGAGAAGGGATTGCGGCGTGACCATCCCCCCTGGGGGGTGATTTCTCGCTTTCTGTCTCTATGTCTCTCTCTGTCTGTCTGGCGAGCGCACGCACCCTACAGTGAAAATCTCTCAAAAAAATAAATAAATAAATAAATAAAGGTAAGACATTTATGGGATGCAGAAATAGATTATTTTCTGTAGATGATAACATGTTCTGTATTCTTAGCTGGACTGGTGTGAAGTATATTCATGTTGGGTAAATCCAATTTATAAGCTAGCAGTGTGTAGTGATTAAGTGTAGTAAATAAATTAAACATAAATAAATAAATAACAATGTCCATGTCCTAATCTCCAGAACATGTGACTGTATTGCCTCATTTAGCAAAAAGGAACTTTATAGATGTGATTAGGATAAGGATCTTGAGATGGAGAAATCTTTGGATAGGTCTATTGTAATCACAAGAGCCTTTATAAGAGGGAAGCACCAGGGTAGTCAAGTTAAAATGTGACAAAGGACTCAGTTTTGGTGGCACAGTGGTAGCACAACACTTGGCCTTGTGGAAGATTGAGGTTCAGTTCTAAGGTTGATCTCCACACACTGAGTGGGTGCCAATGTGGGTGCCCATGATACTGGCTGATTGAGAAAGGCTGGGTGAGGGTTTGGATGTGAGATCCTCATGAAGGCCCTTGTTTTTCTCTCTCTCTGACTCTTTCTTTTAGAATAAACTTTAAAAATGTGCCTATGGGGCCAGCAGGATGGAAGTTAAGGCTCTGGGTCCCACATGGCCCACTGTACTGTGCAAGTCCTAGATCCAGCAGCTGGAAAATCATGCCAAGCATGTTTGGGTACATGCCCGAGATCCTGTGAAAATAATGGAGGAGAAGGGATTGGAGCATGGCCATCCCCGTGGGGATTGATTTCTCACTTTCCCTCTCTATCTAATTTTTCAAAATGTGTTAGATTGGGCTTTTTATTTGTAGTAAGGCTTGGGTTTATTGCCTTATGCTGCTGGAGCACTCAATTTGTGACATTCTCCATAGTTAAGTCCAATATGATTGTTTTCCTCTGTAGCAACCACGTAATGAATATAGAAACTTCTTGAGTTGTGGCACCCATGTTTGGAATTTGTGATGTATAACTTACTTGATGATTTTTGAAATGTATTATTTTTTCAAAATCATATATATAACTAATAGAACGGACCAATAATATACTACATTATCAATATCATCCTATTGTATTATGCACACTGGTATTCTAGACTTAGCCTTTTCACTTACTATACTCTTGGACAAATCACTTGAAATTTATGGTCTCTAGGTTTTTGTTTGTTTCTGAAGTATATTTTATTTTTTGAAGTATATTTTATTCAGAGTACAGAGTATGCTTGCATGTGAGAGAGAGAAAGAGAAACGAATTCTCAGCAGGGGTTCATCACGCCACAATCCTCTTTGTCCAGTTTTCAAGCTCTTCAGAATTCTGGGCACATGCACATGCTCCCAGAGTGGTTACAGGGTGACTAGAGCTAATGGTAAGCATGGCACCTTACCTTATTAAATTGATGACTTCATTAAATAAACTTCAGTAATTCAGAAGAGTACGAATTGATTAAGACTTAGGCAGAATGTTTGTGGATTAGACTTTATCATAGATATATCCATTATTGAATTTTACATAATAGCACCATTGAAATGATTTTTAAAAAATAATTTTGGTTTACCTAATATGAAACCTTAAACCCACATTTTTCTTTTATTGCTTTTTAATTTTTTTTTGTGACTACAGTATGCTAATGTGAAGCACTGTCTCTCACATACTGTTTTCCTCTGAAGAAAAATAAATCAAACTAGTTCATTATACACATTTTAAAAACTCACTGAGATGTTTCAGATGTGAAAACTACTTTAAAGAAGAAAGATAATAGTTGAATTAGTTTTAAGAAAGTTCTCCATTATAGTTTATTACAACTGTACAATAGCAATTTTTGATTCTTCCCTATCCCTAACACTATCATTATTTTACTCAAAACATACTAAAGCAAATAAAGATTTTGATAGTTACATAAACATTATTTTTAAAATTTATTTTATACACTCAATTAAAGTATATCACTTAGCTTGTAAAGTGAACTTGCCCAACATGAATACCCCTCACACCAGTCCGGTTGAGGATACTATACACCATAAACATTATTTTTAATGGAACTTTTTAAATTGGGGAAAATACTGAGTATTACATTTGGAATTTCTTTTCCTTTTTTTTTTTTTTTTAAAATTGAGAAAGGGAACATGCAATTACTAGAAAGAGAGAGAGAGAGAACCCAACAAAGGGGTGTGCTCAGTCCAAAATCTTTTGCATTAATTCAATCAGGATTTGGGGCACAGACACGCACTCTGTGTTTTTCAAGCTAAGATTTGAGCTGAAAGTGAGATCCTTCTCCTGATGCACAGGGCTTAACTGCCCTGCTATGGGCAGGTCCAGTATTAGGAATTTCTATTTTTTCTAATTTATCTTATAGAAAAGATAAGAGAACAAAATAAATTTAAACTATAAGCCTGAGGATGGAGATTTTCCTTGCCTTTATCTCTTAAACTCTTTGCTATCAGATCAACTCTTGCCCTTCCCAAGAAAGCTGTTACTATGAAAAAATTCATTAAAACAGGCGAAGTCACTCATGTGAAGAATTTATAAATGTTAACTGGAATTGTATTTCTACAAAGAATCATTTCTTTACAGTGTGTAGATTATTATAATGTAATATGTAGGATATTAGTATCTTTATTAAAATGAATTTTAAAAATGAAGTGAGAGCTCATGATGAATTTCAAACTTTCAAACTTTCCTTGACTTTCAGTATAAAATTATTGTGCATATAAATAAAAACTTCAAAGGAACAGAGTAGTACTTTGACATGACATATATTATGATCAGAAAATAATATTTTAGCATATTCTTCTTTTTGTGGTGTTTGTGAGTGTTTTAGACAGTCTCACAATGTCATGATTCTCTTGCCTCAGCCTCCTAAGTAGCTGGGACCACAGGGGTGCGCTGCCATGCCTGCCATTTTAGGGTGAGCCTGGAAATACACCTGGGTCTCCCATGTAGCCTCAGCCTGCTGAGCACCAGCATCCAATGTATGCTACCATGGCTAGGTCAGATATTCTTCTTTATTTTCATTGTCAAATAATATTAAATGTAAGTTTATTAAAATATATCATTATTGAGACCAGCAGTTGGCATTATGGTTACATCACTTGACTACCACACAGTCAACCATGGTTCAAGTCTCAGAACTGGTGGTTTAAAACTCATGCTGGGTGTGTGTATGTGCATGCCCTAAATTCCATGAGGAGCATGGAGGAAAAGGGATTGCAGCATGACCATCCCCTCAGGGAGATGTCTCACTGTCTCTCTGGTGAAAGAATGCACATGCCCTCTAGCAAAAATCTCCTTAAAAAAGTATCATTATTGCTAAAAACGTGTTTAATGTATTTAACATATATTTTGTTTTAAGTCTAT